AGCGCCCCTTGTGCACTCACTATGCAGCCTGTGCCAATACAAGTGATCTTCGCCTGTTTTGGATTGAATGGGAGTGTTCAGGGTAACCGTTTTCCGTCTATGTAAGTGGGTCTTCAAGTTTTTTGGCGGGGTGGGGAGTCGGCATGATCTCATCTCTTAATCGCGATCTCTGTCAATCATTGGCGGACGGTGCTGTCCTAACAACAGGAGAAAAACATCCCCTCTTTTTCTCTTGAACGTAGTGCATCTAATTGTCGTAATTCCAAGACAGATTGAGGTTATCATTGTGGCTGCATATGTGCAGGTGGTGCGAGGAATGTGAGTTGGGATCAATGAAATGGCCGGACTTATACATCCGTCTAGGTCATCGGTGCAAGCGAAATTCGAACTTGCATTTGGCGGATGTCTCCCTTGGGGGAGAGGTAGGAAGGTGTGTTGTCAGCAAGAACCTGCTTAGCAATTCTTAGAATTACAGGAATTATACGACCTCAGGCATTGTGGCGCAACCTGGAGGCCCAAAATTGTACCAAGACTGGGAGGAAACAGTGTCTGTATCACACGTCTTAGGTAGTTGAAGGTTAGCAAACCGGGAGAGACTGTTTTCGTTGTAGTTGTAGAGGCCTATGTTCCAGGAACTAGTAACATCTATCAGAGGACACCCGTCACCTTGGGTTGGAAATCCTTTTGACGCCATGAAATCCGACTACATACGGTGGGTCGTCATGAGCTTTTGTCCCAGCAGGGCGGTTCCTCGCAATCAACCACGAAGTTCTTGGAGGAAGGGCGCCTCTGCCTGACGTTTCTGACTCGCGTGCAGTCCCATCCTCGGGATGGCGGCTTTCCAAATCGCCAGTACCCAGTTGATTCTGTCACACAACTGGCAGAGCCAGCGTCGACCTGGATCTTTGTCCGAGCGACTGTGTGGACATTTGTGTACCAAGTCCCCCCCGTTACGGTCTGTTCGTTGACGGCCATTGGTCATTGCATTCAGTGCTGGTGAGCACTGTGAGGTAGGTTTCCTGATGCAGACGGGGAGTTCTGTGATAGCCCTCGGTGCCTGTCGTCGAGAGCAGTTCGGTCGTTATCTGGGGTGTAAAGGAAAGGATAATCAAAGGAAGACACTAGAAAAGGAACCGTTGGGCAGGTGTTTCGTGTATTCTGCATGGCCAGCCGTAGCTGCTGGGGTCGAAACAACGGATGAGATCAATCCCCTCCAGATGTGACCGATGGTTCTAGGGACCTGGGACGTTCATGCACATACGGGCAATCCGGTGCCCAAACGCGCAGAAATGAGAACAAATTTCGTCACCTACGAGCCGACTGGGTACAAGGTGAACGCCATTGCTTTTAGTGATGTCTGCTTTCTTCAAAAAAGAAGTAGGCGAAGTTCGTGATGCACCTTATTTTGGAATGTACACCCAAAGAAAGAGTAATGAGACGGCGGACTCCCCTCCAGCGTCGGAAACGGCATCGCGGGACAGTTGTCTCACCTGCAGCAGAGGACCAACGTCCCTCTCTTAATAAGAATACCTCAGCCATCATAGACTGCCCCTAGCCACTTCTCCCCCCCCCTTTCCACCCCAATGACGGACCATGGCGAGGTGAAGGGCAATTTCTACGAGGACACGAAAGCCCTCTCTGTTTCCCTGTCAAGAGCTGGAAAACAGAATGTCCTCTGTGACTGCAACGCTCTTAAAAACACAGGTCACCTTACCTGGCAGAGGAAACCCTGTCTGCACGGCATAGGCATTTGTAACGACAGCGGCATTTTCCTGACGTAGGACTGCACAGGACGCAATCGTCTCATCCTCGTCACCATCTTCTGAAGCCAGAGAAAGTAACATGGATACGCTCTTCGTCGTGTCAGTAGCTAGTTTCTGACTACCTCTTCGGCATCAGACGACATCGACGTGATGCACTGGTAGCATGTGCGAATGCTGAATAGGCCGCAGCCTTGTCGTCTGAGATGTGAGAGTGCAATTTAAATCTAAAAGACGGCTTCGGAATGTTTAGTACGGAAACATTGACTCTTGCTGAACTTGGGGTGAAATGGACATCAGTCTGAAGCAAATATGGGTCCTAGATGAGGAGGTAATTGTGGGAGGAGGATGGTGCTGAACAACAATGTGACCAAATGGAAGCAATTACTGGATGCCATCCACGTCACCGCTCTGGAAATCCTTGTATCCAAAGATAAGTACCAACACTGACTCTATAACGACTAGGAAGAAACCCGGCAACTTCTCCGCAAGGAAGCGAGCAACGCGACAGTTAGACCGTCGTAACTGACGATGTCCACCGTGTGCTCCACAGCAGGGTGGGAACAGAGATAGTGACTTGTGCATGAGTTCGTTTATGGTGGTAGTGGACTTGGGCTCTATCTACTGCACTCTCTCCTCCCCCCACACCTGGTCGGTATCCTGACACAGTAAAGAAGTCCGGAGGCGGTAGAGGGTGCAGTTGGCCAGCACGGCGAAAATCTACACCTATGTTGGCATATCGCGACATCCCCTGATCCACAAAGCACACTGACCAGGGTTTTATACAAATATAAAAAGAGGTGGCCCTGAGCCTAGCTGGCGCGGCGTGTGTCTGCCGCTATGCGGCGTGCCCCTCAAAAAACGCGATGTCCTCCCTAACCAACCTCAGAGAAGTAGTTGGGACCATACTGACGTGCTCGCCCTGAGCCGCCCCCGTTTTAGTTTTCGCTTACCTTTAGGATTTCGCGCTCGTACCCCCAGTATCGGTCTCAGCCTGGATCTGCCACCACTTAACATCCCCTAATTATCATCTTACCTCCATGAAAAATTTGCCCTACTTCTCCATATCCCTACGCGAACGATGATTTCCGTGGATTCTAGCGTCATCTCCCCTTTTCGCCTCCTAGCGACCTGTTGACGATCACGGCAGATTCCTCCGTTTTCGCCATCTACTAATAATTTGGTCGGTTAGCAAAGAAGTATCATGGCCGCATCCCCCCCCCGCCTTGATGACCCCTGTAGCCTTTAATGTCTCCTCCTCACCTGGAAACTAAGCGGACTGTAAAGTATCGCGTTGGGTCCCTCCTGTCTCTCCACAATGACGGTTGCACCTACTGTCAACTCACAAATATTAGGATCGCATCTGCAGAGAAGAACCTCACCCGGCTTAGGAATTTAACCTTAATGATGACCGTTTTGAACCTTTATATACCCTTACCTGCAGGGCGGTTCTGTCCGACCCGCATATTTACATTTCCATGCTCGACGGTTTTTTCACATTAAAAACTAATTAAATCACATTCATTCTGTCTTGTTGGAAAAACGGAAGGAGTTTTTTCACTGTTCGTAAACTGTTTTTCACATCAGATTGCCTATTTTACTAGCACGAACTGAACACTGTACAGTGTCTGCCTACTCGTTCTAAAATTCACTCGAAAACGTATCGTTGCTAACTATGGAAGCACACTTATGGATACTAAATAACCCCGATCGTCGGTCTTCTATGCAGTAGACAATCAAGGCGGTACGGCGGATGTCCAACGGGAAAGCCCCGAACAATAATTGCATTTCATCAAGGTGTGTCACAAATTCTGAACGCAGTGGCCTCGCTGTTTAAAAGAATGTGGAGGCACGAAAAAATACCGCGCGATATCCAGGACCTTTTGATTTTTTACCTGTGCAAACGAGATGAAGGCCCGTCGGTCCGAAAGGATAATCAATGAATTATATAATTCATATATGCTCCTCAGCCCTGTTGGTAGGGTTTTTTCCGCATTTTGTTCTATCACGCGAATGGCATCCGGAACGTGCTCATTCCCAGAAATGCAATGCTAATTCCGAAAGCACAATGATGACATAGACGTAGTCTTCATAGACAAGGAAAGGGTTGATAAATGGGGACCGGTCTCCATAACATTTTTCCGACTCACCATAAACCAGACACTGTAAGCCGTAACGCACTCTGCGAAATCCCAATAAAGATCGGATGCCTTGAGCAGTTCGCGCAGACAAGCAGAGGATCTCACAATGGCAAGATTTCGAGCCACTCCGACAACGGGTCAACCCCACAGGACTTTACGGTGATGAGCTCTGCGATACAGGGCTGCGTACCTGTTTCCACCCCCAGCTTCATATTATTCGTCATAGTGGTGGACGTTTGTGGTGAAAAACGAGCTGGAATCGATATCCGCTGCTGAGTCAAAGGGAATCTACTCGAAATTCAACATATAGAAACCGATGCGGAAATAGCCCAGGCCAAGTCTCATGAACTCTTATTCGCGAACTGCTACGCTGGAAATCGCGACCGAAACGGACATACAGCCGGGACTGGGCCTCCTCGCCTTTAGTCGTCTAAACTTCGGACTGACCCGCGGCATAGAGAATGCGACTGTCAACTGTCAAGCAGCGCCAGATGAGCAATACACCGAACCGATAGTGAATGCCAATGAAACTCATCTAGTGGCTCCAGACAAATTCGCGCACAATGAACGCAAGAGAATCCTGATAATCAACTTGACCTTCAGCAGGCGGCAATACAGAAGCTGGGATAACTGTGTCATTCTCTCCAACACGAGACTGGAGATTACAGAGCTCTATTCTTGGATATGCTAGTCTACGGAGCGACGTAGTAGACAGTACCAAGTTCATAAAATGTGAACCATTCCCGCCTGAACCGCCTCAGAGGGGTTTAGATTCCGAGTTCTCAGAGGTCCTAGAAGCCACTAGTTTTTTCAGCATCTGAGTAACGCTGGGGCAGATAAAAATTCAACGGAACGGCCGCATCGAGAGAATGATCGGTGGTCGACTGCCTAAGTGGCTGCTCCATCATTGCACTATGCCATATGCTCGTGGCCAGGGTGGACAAAGCGACAATGGCAGGACATCCTGGTGGTTAAACTCAGGTAACTGGGGCCGAACGAAGTGGCCTGGGCTGGCATGACTATCTGCGAAAAAGAAAGGTGGTCGAGCACCGGAACACTTTGTTTATTGCTCTGAGCTGTCCAACTCGTGCAGGAGTTCATTGTCAGAGATGGTAGCAGCAACAGAACAAGGGACAGATGTAGGGCGTTGTGTTCAATCATCGACGGACGGCGTAAGACTGAAAGTGGCTGTGCGGGGCTCTGTACGCCGGCACCAGATCGATAAGTCGATTGACTGCGTTCTCACTCGAGGACCAGGCTTTAATCATTTTTCGGCGTTTTGTTTCCAGCGTGGGCGACTATTTTAGTGGCTGTGAATTTAAACTTGTGACCCATTTCGTTGGTGTGGGCGGCCACTTGTGATAATGCGTCGCCTCGTCGCACAGCCAGCTTATGTTCGTGTATGCGCGATCCGAGCTTGCGTCCAGTCTGGCCTGTGTAGTTACAAGGACAGTTTTGGTACGGGATGCGATACAGTACATCAGGTTGCTCCTCAGACTGTAGCCTGTCCTTAATTTTCATGACCTTACTGCGCACGGTGGCTTTGGACCCGTGTGCAATTCCAACAACTAGCTCCGCAGCAATGCGCTCGGTTGCTTCTGAAACGTTGTTGATGTATGGCAGAGAATGCCAGATGGTTGATGTTAATGTTCGAATCCTCTGGGGCGACCGCGATGGCAGCGACGTATAAATGCCCTTGGATAGCCATTTTGCACAAACTGGTAGCGGAGATAACGGGCCTCACGTGCTCTGTCCTCCGGTTCGCTGTAATGACTTTGTATTCGTTTGAAGGACGTCCTCAAACAGCTTCGTTTTTGAGTCACCAGATGGTAGTTGTGCAAACTGAGAAGCTGTGTGGTGTTCGTTGCTTTCCTATAAACAATTGTTTCAAACTCACCGTTAAGGTTCCGTCTCACCAGCACATCCAGGAAGGACAACCGCTGTTCCTGTTCTTCTTCCCTTGTGAATTTTATATCGGAGAGGACTGCGTTGAGCAGTTCGTTGAAGTGTTGTAGCATGTTCTTCTTTACGGTAACAGACGTGTCGTCTACATAACGGCGCCAAAACACTGGTTCATTTTGAATAAAGACAATGTTTTCAAACACCTGTGGGACCAGTTCTGCCACTAAGCCAGAGACTGGTGAGCCCATTGGGGTTTCCTTGATTTGTTCATAGGTCTCTCCAGCAAAAGTGAGGAAAGTCTGATGACAGGATTCAAACAGACCCATGAGGTGTTCGCTTCTGAGTGCATTCTGGGTCGCGTCGTACAACTCTTCAAGTCTCTTGCGCAAGACTTTGCGGACCAAGTTTTGTGGTTTGCTGTCAATCGTTGCCTTAAGAGGCAGCCCCGTCTATAATTTGCTAAAGTGGATGTGCTTAAAACTGAAGTTCCGTCAAGGCAGTTCGACTACCTCAGTTCAATTAGATTCTCAATTCCCCTTAGACGTCATTATTTACATCAATCCCACCAAACTTGACACGCAAAGTCTTGCGCAAGGGACTTGAAGGGGCGTACAACGACACCCGGAGTCTGGTGGAAATCGATCACCTCATGAGGCTATTTAGATTCTGCCAAGTTAGGTAGGATGGGTGTGAAGAATGACGTCACATGATTTCGTCTGATTAAATTCTCCGACCTCGGAGTTCTAAGAGGAGATGAGAGTCTGAGTGAACTGAAGACTGTTTAAACAGTCATGTGACGTTCGGCCAGCTGAAAAAGAACTTAATTGTGTTTCTTTCCGTAATGGTATTTAAGTTTGAGTTGTTTATATGCATCACGAAAATAGAAGCTGTATTTGCCACCACAGACAAATTTTTCGTATAGGGTGTGTTCGTCACCCCTTCACCGCCATATGGTTGCCGACGCATGGCGTACAATAGTATCAAGAGCCTGATTGAAGTTGCAATCGACTCTTGCGAAGCCATTGACATCGCGTCATTTTTTCCAAAGACTACTTGCAAAAGTAATTTAAAAACACGTTTATTAATTCGATGCAGACACCCGCCCGGCGTCACTCAATAAACCACTTTTCATTTCGCAGGGAAAAAATTGTAAGCTCAGAACTCCAATTTTACATCTTTTTTTCTAGCTTCTCCTCACTTCGAAAAACCGAATCAGGTTTGCTTTGACTTATTTTGTTTCTGATTTGTGGAAAACACGCTTCAGGCACAACCCAATGGACGTCCCGTCCATATTTCCATTCCATTCGTCTATCCCACTGCTGAGGACGTCTGTCAACAGGAGTCTGCAACATTGTACCAGCAGAAGGCACCACTCTCGTGCACACAAGCGTTTGAAGATAATTTTGATTCTATGAACTTAACCCAGATGCTTGACGAAACTCAATTCTACAACTTACCTAACAAGGGTAAATAACGGATTTATCATTTATCAGTTTTTTTAAAAAACCATAAACCATTCACGTGGTCTTTTTAATTCCAGATGGGCTGCGTATGGATAACTCGTCGCGGAGCCCACAACTCGAATACACGTCAACATCGTCTGCGGAAGATGCTGCCAGGAAAGCAAATGTCGTCGGAGAAGATACTAAATTAACGACGGAGTCATCGAAAGATCTCGAAATGCATGCCCCGACGGGAGCCCATTGTTCGTCCTCTCCGGCAGATATTTTTCGACATAAAAGCATAAAATTTAATATGGACTCGAAATCGCAACATTGCGGTACGAAGATAAATGAACATTCGTCTCTGAGGGATAGAACGCCGGAAAATATTGACCTTTCATCCTCCGTCACCGGGTTTTTTACTGGTAAAGGTGTCTCCATCGCAACACCATCAACTGCTGCACTCCAGCGTGCGAAAGGTCTGATCGCTGACTGTCTTAAAGAAAACGGTAGAGGACATATTGAGGAAGACTTGCATTCCGTAGTATGCGCATCATCTGCACTCCAGGATTCTGTAAAGACTACTTCGCCAAACGTCGAAGTCTCGACCGCAAGCAGTTTCCAGTCCTGCAAGACATCGGACATATGTCATGGTTTGCCTCCAAACGTGGACTTGTCTAAAACACATGCAAATAAGAATGCCTTGATGGCAGCTAGTTTAGTCACCAATGAGAGTGCAAAACCTTGTGTAAAGTCCTTTGACTCGTCTCAATACACTAGAAATTTGCCAGAAGCGTGCGTGCGTGAGCCTGTTTTGGGATCGACTCTTCTTTCGTGCTCGGTCTCCCAGTCGTTATCATGCTCAGAACCACTTGGCTCCTTCAAAAACACTGGGTTTCAGACAGGTAAAGGAGTTTCCATACCTATAAAATCGACCGAAGCACTTAAACGCGCAAAGACCATTTTCGCAGATTGCTTGAATGAACCCGTAAGCGAATTCGACAAAGCCACCATTCATGAAGGTTTGCGCGACTGGCCGCCATTGGATAAGCCGCAGCTTTCGCCAGCTAAAGGCGAGGCTTCATGTGCTTCGGGCTTCATTGGAAAAGCTGGACCCACCTCGGGAACAACCAAGACGCCTCGCCGATCAAAGGGCATGGGGGCAGGCGGTTCGATTGAATCGGTAGTAGTGCAAGCCGCAGAGACTATCTTTCCCCACACAGAGCTGAAACTTGCCGTGAGCAAGCCAACTTCGTTAAAATATCAGGTACCAAATACCAGTCCTGCTTCGGTGATTACAGGTTTTTCCACAGGCAAAGGCGCACCCGTCTCTCTAGCATCTGCCGAGGTGCCTCGGCGTATAAAGGAACTGATTAGGGATTGCTTGGACGAGCCAGTTATGGACGTGTGTCAGCAGCTAACGGGAAGTACCGTGACCTCACCGGCGCAGATTCCTCTCGAAATGCCACCCGATGCGAAAAATAGTTTCCCATTTGTCGGTTTTTCAAGTGAACGAGGTCTTACTGCCTCATTTTCATCGACTGACGTTCCTACTCACTCAAAACCCATTGTTGAGGAACACATGCGTAAAAATTCGACGGAAGCAATTATGCTGACACTGGGCCCGCAACGAGCTGCTGAGGACGGAGTGGTCTCCCCATTATGTGATCGTCCAAATAAGGATACCAGTTTTCTGACTGGTAGTCCTCCCTCGACTTCCTTAGCATCCTCTGATACTCTCCGACATGTTCGGCCTTCACTTTCGGACGGTTCGGATCGACTGGATATTTCCACCCATAAGCAGACAGCGTCGCAGGATATGGATACATCATCACTAGACTCTAAAGTGAGGCTAGTTTTCCAGAACAGTCTGTCTGTCGACACAAAAACCAAATCGGTCTTGCCGTCAAACACATCACCTCAGGGACCAGTTTTATCAGTCGTAAGCTATACCGATGTAGTTGGAACTGTCACTACAACAGGTCACGGACCTACTTCAAATGCAAGAAGATCCCCACTAACCGGACCCATTGATCCAACTGCCGATGCGTACACCGTGTCTGGTTCTGCGGGCTTCGTACCGGAAAAGGAGACTGATGGTGAGATCCCAAGGAAGTCACAATCTCCGAAGTTCTCTTATGAAGAAACGTTAGCAGGCGTCTTCGAAACCGGTTCACCTTTTCCTCATACCAGTCAAGGTTCTTCTCAAGTCAATGTAACTTTACCTAGTGCGTAAGTCGGCTTAGATTGTTTCAGGTTTCATCTGCGTTCTTCCGTTTAATGTGACAAATTGGGCCTACGCCGCAAGTGCAGGGTGTTGTGGTTTCTTCTGTCTAGCCTAAACTGCCTCTATTGCTAATAGTTATAGCGCGCTGCGTGAATGGATCTCTGCTGTCACGTCAGCAACTTAGTAGAATAATTAGCTGACTATACTAGACGGTCCCTATTGTCATGTCCATGTCCTAGAAATCTCATAGGGCCCAAGTTCAGAAAGTATTTCTCCCCGTAAGACTGATAGGCTGTAGAGCTCTGTCCAAATTATAAAACCGATCATTATCATGTCTTTACACGGTTAAATGTTTAAACCCCTACCCGTAGCTGCTTATGTTAGTGAACTAGCATAATGATTTGCGAACTTGTTCGTTTTTCCGAGATTTCGAGCCCTCGCAGGAGTCTATCGTCAGAGGTGATAGTAACAACAGAACAAGCGACAGTTACAGGGAGTTCGAGTGAAGATTCGAGACGTGGGGCTAATAAAGCTCTTGTCCCAGCGACGGTGTCTCCTTCGCGGGTTTTAGCTAACCAGCGGCCAGTGTCTCAGACCTGGGGATGACTGCACTGGGCCACACCCGAGTCCTAGGCCGCAATCAATCCTCAACCTCTCTTGTCTCCGGTAGGAACATTATCTCGGTGACAGCGAAGTTGCACTCGTGACCCGTCTTAAAGGTGTGGGTATCCACTTACGAAACCACTGCTGGCACCCCTACCCAACCCTCTCTCTACTATTATCTCCTTCAGCTCTCCTTTCATGTTTATTCCCTAGTAACCTACTTCGGTCTTGGGCGCTAGGATTCGGCATCAACTTCGGCTGCAAATAGTGAATTCATTCGGTCTTCCTGTTCCACGCCACCATTTTTTTGCAATTCAACTCACTTTCCGACGCTATTGTGCGTTTTGTGCACCAAACTTTCCATGACGGTTGCACTCCTTAGGTCAAACAACCCGTTTTGTTCATTGAAAAGTGTTAGGTTAGTGCATTTTTTTAGATAAGACGGTCTCCGAGGCAATTAATATTTTATTACAGAATTTGGCCTTAAAGCCCTTTCCTCTTTCCTCTTGGTCTAGGATTACGAATCGTGCTTTGGCTCGTGAGCTACAGGAAACCATGGCTGTTGCTAAATTCAAATCACACACAACGCCTTCCCCGAAAACAGCTCGACTTCATGCTGGTAGTAGAACACCACGGGTTGTTTCTGTTGCCACCAGCCGAGGCCAGCCGCACAAGGTTGTTCGAGAGCCAAATTCGCCGGGACTCCTAT